AAAAAAAGGAGCCAGGTCTTGGGCTTTTCTCTCACATCCAAGACTCACTAAGTTGACAATTTATCAAGGGTTCAATAGTAACCGAGAATGAAATTGTTCTCAACCAAATTATCTTGTTGATTGCAACTCGGGAAGGAAAAAAGACAGAGACAAAGTTGAAAGTCTAACAGAAAATCGCATACCTCCAGCTTCCACTGAGAAAGAGAAGCTTTCAGCATTGCCTGAAAAACAGTGGGGCCCATAGGCTCCTTCATATCGACTATGACTCCCCCATGTTCATCATCACAAGCAGGAAGCACTCGAAACTTTCGAACTTCATCTTCAACACCATTTTGCCCCATTAAACTGCATAATAACTGAAATGAGATATAACACTCACTAAAGCAGTAACGCAGTCTTACAGAAGTTACCTTACTAATAAGCTCTTGTTTGAGCCCCATTTTGGCAAAAAGAATGTATTTTGAACAGTAAATTGATGGAGAATGTGGAGTTAAAAATTAAGCAAAAGTTTTGAATTCAAATGTAATATTATTTTATCAAAGACTACTTAGCTGAAAATGAATTTTGAAAAAATGAATTTTTAGTGGAATGGAGCTCAAATAAGGGCTAAATCTCAACAATACTGCTCATGAACTTATCTGCCATGCTAATTACACTGAAAATCAGTTCCATTGATTAAAAAAAAAAAAAGATTGATTCTAATTAATATAAAACAAACGCATACTTGCCAGCAAGATTATGATAAATAACAAACTACAGTGCCTTACAATTATTAAAACTAAATTTCAATTTTTTGCAAGCAGTTAGCAATTCTTTGGCAACGAAATTGATTTTACCAGAACAAAGTAAACTGCGCTCCGCCAAACAGAATCAAAACTAAAGCACACAATTAAACAAAAATAAATAAACGATTACCTTTTGCAGAGATAGCACCAAAACTTCGTATTAGTACTGTTGCCGTTACTGCTTTGACCAATAATTGATAAAGATTCGCATTTAAATAGAGAGAAACTAGCGTGGGTCCAGCTCGGACCTGAAAGTCAGTTCCGTTACGCCATTTGTTGTGGCCCATCACACGTATCCGGCGACCGACGATTTTATTCCGTGTTGGCATGGGAGGCTGATAGCCATGCACTACGCTGAAAAAGACACCCTGAGCACGCTTCATTCACCGCAAAATTCAACCACTTGCACCCAATTGCTTGAAGGTCCCATCCAAATAATTGAATTATAACATGAACCATATTTACGAGAGGGTCCCAACATTGAAAAGTTGGGGGTCATAATATGATATTTGGATTTTGGGTCTTTTTATTTTTCGGGCAATGCCACATTGCCCAAAGAAAACGCTCGAAAGCAATGCCGGAAAGGTATGTGGCAGGAGATAATTGAATGAAAAAGATAATTATATTTTAAATTGTCTAAAGATAGAATGTCACGCCTTCTTTCTTAAAGCGCTAGACGTCTCACCCGAGATCAAATCAAAGAAACCTGAATGACGGAAGGCTTAGCTAAGTCCTACCTTAGCATTATGTAAATCTTTATGCTAAATATGATATACGTATAGCATGATCTTTATTTTTCAGTCTAGTTTAAAAAAATCAAACTTTTAATAAAAATAATGAAATATATATAGTTAAAATTAATTATTAAATTTTTACTTGAATTTTAGTCAACTATGTTAAGTTACAGCAAACAAGACATTGCATTGAGTATGAGTAGAGCATTTACCGTGGATTGCTTAAATAATTGAGTCCCTCGGCATTTCGTTCTCCTTTTTGTTATTTGTTTTATTGTTGATTGAACTTAAAAGTGTACGGTCCAATTGTTCGTTGTTTTCAATTTTGTAAAATATTGAAAACTTGTTTTGTCTGATATTTTTTAAAATACATTTTTTGAAAATAAAGATAAACTTATAACATAGATTTTAAAATGCATTTTTTTATGTTTTGAGTATTTTCAGTGAAAATTCTAAAAAAAATATGAAATATAGAAAATAAATTTTTTAAATAAATTTTTGAAAATAAAAATATAAAAATTTTAACAAATAAAATTTAATCATTTTAATAAGAAAAAATTTAAAAAATAAAAAAAATTATAAATGACAAATAAAAATAGTTCAAACTCTTAACAATTATTTACATAAGAATTCTATAAAAATATTTAAGTGAACAGAGATAAAAATATTTAGAGTCCACATCATTAATTTTTATTCTTATTTTATATATTTTAAAGTCGATTTATTATTTATTTTTATGTTACATGTTATAGAGAGAAAACATTTTTCAAAATTTCAAATCAAACACGTTTTTCTCCCGTGGTTGTCCGATTCTCTTGGATCGAGTGTTGGTGTAAAAGAATCCTCTCATCCTCAGACCAAGGCGAACAATCTAGAAGATCTTATCGAATGATAGAATAATCTATGGGTTCGTTAGGAATCAATAGTCGTTATTTTCTATTTTGAGAAATAATTTTTTAAAGTGATAAACTAAACTCATTTTCAAAAATATTAGAACAAACCCTTGAAACTTAAAATTGAAAATGAGCTTAAAACTAAAAACTAAAATACAATCTAAACAAGCTCGTAATGTTTCATTGAAATGCCTTCTAACATTCAAATGGATTGTACATCTTCCTCTGTTCAGAATATAGAATAAATGAAATAAATCAAAAATTGAAACGCTCTTTTCTAAAAGGAAAGGACAATTTTAACCAGGTTCTTGTATTAAGAATAGCACATTGATAAGTTCTATTGCCCTGTTTGGGAGTAATTGTTAAGCAATTTTAATTAATTATTTTTACTGGTGACTTCTGACAACTCTCGGACCGAAATTATAGCCATAATTGTATTTATTGTGCATTGTCAAGTTTGCCCTCCAAGAATGATCACATATGACGACTGAAAAATGTTTATAAATAATTTCTAACGTTTAACGTCGATAATGTAGATTATTTCGTTAGTTCTTATCCTTTTTATAAAATAATGAGTCAAAAGTTGCTGCAAAATGGGACCCACAGCATATATTCTTCGGGTGAGAGAATGAATAGATGATGAGAATCGTGTACTATAAGACTCGAGTGTTACAAGTTTAAACAGTCGAAGATTTAATTTAAAAACAAAAACAAAATGTTGAGGACCTAATATGCTACATTATCCATAAGTTGTATAGTTTTTCTGATTGAAAATTTCAGGAGACGGATCCATTTGTCTTTGAAAAGGCTTAATGTCCATTATTTGTGGTACCCCACGTGGTAAGACTATATGAAGAGTTCTCCAATTTTATTTTCACACTGTTTTGAGTTAAACTGGGACAATCCTAGCAAGGGATCGCTTCACTGAAGCGTGGCTTGATTCTCACCACAAACTCGTCCATTGATGTACATGTCTCGGTGATCTAAGAAAGATAACAATCATCACATCACTTGGAAAAAAAATATATGTTTAGATTAGACTTATGAGTGTCCTTTATACATTACAAGATCAATCTTTAATTTAGAATTATATTCAAAGTACACCTATTTCTTTTTTCCCCACTACATTTAAACGGTAGTGGAAGTCTGTTCAATCATTGTTTATTATTGTCGCATTTATGTTTTCCATTATTTTTTTGTTGCATTCTACCATCAACATTTGATTAATTAGCAAATCTATTTTAAAGTTAATTGTTTCAAAAATCACTCGACTTATACCATGGTCACGGACTGGTCACTGAACTTTAATTTGCTTCATGATACTCACCGAACTTTCGTCGTTTGCACTCCATACATCACTGTCAAAAAAATCGTTAACACTTCTGATGACGCGATAGACGGAACCGTGACATGGCCAATAACAGCTATTATAATAACACCAATGCAGTTATGAAATCCAAATGATACAAAAATGTGCCCCATATGTCTTTTTAAAACGCGATCTTTGAACCTAGGAAAAAATTCAAACCAACCCCCACGTGCCATTGACCACCAATTCATTTCCCAATCCTCAAACCTTCAAAATCCCCAGCTCCATAATTTTTCCATATCCTCCCAACCCCTAATCGCCACTTAATCCCTCTGCTCGACCCCAGCATTTCAAGATTCGAAGACCACGCACATGGAGGGACCACATGAAGGTATTTTTTGTCCATTTATTTTCAAAAAAATAGGAATTTTTTGCACAATGTGTTGGCCACATGTTTGACGATTTGTTGTTGGAATCATTCAAGTTTTTTTTGTTTTGTGATGGTATAACCAATCATTCTAACATTTTATAAGTTCTATTTAATTGTTTGCACACAATTTTACCCTATGGTCACATTAAAGTTTGCATCAATTTTTGAAAAAAAATAAAAATAAAAATAAAAAATTACAAGTATGTGGTGTATAGTAGTTATTCTGATAAAAATTTAATTTTGCAGAGTATGGATCAGTTCCTGAAATCAACACGTCCGAAAGTGATGGAAATGGCACTAACTATGAAGTTTTGTTGTCGGACGATGACCCAGATTTCAGTGATTCGGGAAATGAGTTAGACTCCGAAGGGGATGACTTTCTATACGAAAGGAATGTGACGAATGGGATAGAGTTAGGTTCAAATGTGGGTGTGGTGGAGAATGTGGTGCGGAATGAAGTTGAAGGTGATGTTGATGTGTATGATTTGAAGTATCCTTCTTCTAAAGAGATTCAATCAAATGGTGCATTGGATGACGAGGTTGGTTATTGGTTTTCGGAGTTTTCGATTGAGGAAGATATAGGCTTCCAACCTGGGTGACACAGGTAGTGTCCAAGTGAAATCATATACTATTGAGCACACATGCAATCATGACAAATACCACAGGCATTGCAGTTACTAGTTTTTGACTCGTCGTTACATCAAGATGTTCAAGGCAGATCCAAACTCTGATTGCAGTGAAAGAGAATTTGAGAACTGATATCACCAGAAATGTGGCGTTGAAAATGAGAAGATACACAAATGATTTGCTGCATGGGATAATTGAGAAGCAGTTCGCACTGTTGTGGTCATATGCTTCAGAGGTGTTGTATACCAATCCAAGCTCAAATGTGACCACCAACACATTCAATGATGTTTTCCAGGGGATATACTTTTGTTTCCAACCATGTAAGACTAGCTTTATAAAAGGTTGTAGGAAAGTGATTGGAGTAGATGGCTGCTACCTGTGGGGCTGTTTTGGAGGCATATTGTTCACGGTCTCTGGTCTAGATGCAAATGATTGTATATATCCCATCGCATATGCTATGGTTTAGAAAGAAAACACACCATCTTGGATGTGGTTCATGGGACTTCTTGCAGCAGATCTTGAAATTGGTACTGGAGATGGTTGGACTGTAATGACATATAGTTAGAAGGGGATGTAGAAAGTAGTTGATGAACTACTCTGGAGTCCAAGCATAGTTTCTATGTACGCCATATGTATTCAAACTTTTTCAGTGCCAACTTCAAATGAGAGACTTTGAAAGATTATCTTTAGTGTACAACCAAGTCAACTATTATTTTCGATTATAGACATTGAATGCGACAAATTCGTCAAGTATCAGAGGAGGCTTTCAAATGGTTGATGAAGAGGCCATCCCAAAAATGTCGAAATCACATTTCAAAATGCATTCAAAGTGCGATATTCTATTGAACAATGTGTGCGAAGTGTTTAATAAAACACTTTTGGAAGACCTCGAAAAATGATTTTCACCATACTTACATTTATACAGCTAAGCTTCATGAAAAGAATATTGTAGTGGTAAAAATTAATTTACAAGTCCAAGTGGCCCAAACCATAGAACGAGGTCCACAGACGATTTAACCGCGCCATCATCAGCCCAACTCATTATAACAATCGGCTCGAATACACAGTCCAAGACCCACATGTCAATTCGAAATCTCCAATAATCTATCTTCCAGATAGATCACGTTACGATCTATCCAGATCTGGTGAGAGTTATCTGCAAACCGATCTGATATCTCAACTGAACATATCGGATTAGATTTGGCTCCAACCAACCACGAAATCTTGAAGAATCCCCGCCAATCCCTCTTAAACGATTATCCCATTCCTATAAATTCAACAGTTGGTTGAGCACTCAGGTAGGATAATCCACTAGATTCTAATTCATTTCTTCTTTCTTCCATCCGGCATTTATCAAACTTTCAACGAGGTTTACCGACTTGACTGTCGGAGGGTCTTTGATCGACACCACACCGGTGTCCTTTTAAGATCTTTTAACGGTCATCTTCCTTTGATCTATTTTTTTTGAGTTCCACAGGATTGCTAGTGGCCTACCTGATCTGATTTCTTGGATGTAGAATCTACTGTCTACAATTTGGCGCCCACCATAGGGCCCTAGCCATCATTCTTACAAACAGGACTCTTGCCATTACTATTCAACAATCATTCCCGCCATGTCAGGAACTTCTGAAACCCATCATACAGATGGCTTCACTGATCATACTTCGAAAGAATTAGCTCATCAGGAAGCAGAACGAATGATTTATCAGGGGGTGAAAGCAACAATACAACAAGAAGACGGCTCAGGTCATGCTACCGCTCTGCCACCACTCCAATGTTGGCTTGTCCTATCCATCCAACAACCATCCAGCCAATCCATTCGATCCAGCCGGTAGTTGTACAGCAAAGCACAATCTATCCTGTCTCTACACACCCTCAACCTACCATTCCGTCTAGTGAAGTCACTACACAGCTAGCCCAACTCATCGATTTGATAAAACATAATTCACAGAAGTTGGAAAGGCTAGAAGCAAAGAATGCTACCACCTGTGTGGAGAATTGAGACCTTCAAGAAAGAGTGAAATTCTTGGTATCCGATTCAACATTGGCACGCCCATCACGATCGACTCCTTCACTTGACCAAAATAGACTGAGGACCATTAGTTCTAATGTCCAATTTGCTGCACTGCTTAATGGAGGATCAGAAGATGCGCAACCACAGCCTACTAGTGGACAGGACCCAAAATTCGTACGAAAATTAACAGCAACCGAAACCATGGTTTAACGTATCCTAGGAATGCCAACACCTATCAAGAAAAGTGAAGCCAGTTATTTCGTCGATTGCCCTTTTTTCGACTAAATTGCCCTGGTGGAAATGCCTAAAAAGTTCAGCTTTCTTAATATGAAGTTATACGATGGGACAGGCGATCTAGACGATCATATAGCTCAATATAGACAGAGAATATTTACCGTTGCTATACCAAGAGACCTTCGAGAAGCTTGCATGTGTAAAGGGTTCGACTCCAGTCTAATGGGGTCGGCCCTACAGTGGTATACCAATCTTTCAAATAATTCTATATCATCATTCGCCCAAGTAACTGATACTTTTGTTGAACAGTTTGCAAGTAGCAGAAAACTTGAGAAGCGATCCGACGACCTCTATCATATAGTGCAGAGAGGAAATGAGTCACTACGAGAATTTGTCGGATGATTCAAGCAGGAGAAAGTTTCCAACCATAGCTGCAACCAACAAATTGCCATTTCTGCTTTTCAAAAGGGGCTCCTCCTAGATACTGATTTGTATAAGGAACTCACCAAACACCCATGCATCATAGTGGAGAATGTCTTGGCTAAAGCTTGGGCTTAGATAAAATGGGAAGTGGATGATGCTAGTTTTAATTTCACCAAGCATCAACTCCATCGAGAAATGGCCCGTCGATAGGGATGTAAACGAGTCGGGCCGAGCCGGCTTGTGAGCCTAAAATTTCTGCTCGGGCTCGGTCCGGTTAAAAAGGCCGAGCTTTTTTGCGGGCTCGAGCCGGGCCGAATAGGCTCGGCCCGAGCTTTTGCTCGGACTTTTTACAGGCCGAGCCGGGCAGGCTCGTTTTTTCTCTTTTTTTTGTTTTTTTTTTTCTCTTGCTGCCTTTTAAGAGGCAGCGAACTGCTGCCTTTAAAAGGCAGCAGTTTTGCCTTAATTTTTTTTATTAAAAAGCTCGCGAGCTCACGGGCCGGCTCGGGCAAAGCCCGTATCCCCAAAATGGGGCTCGGCCCGAGCTTAGGCTCGGGTCTATCGAGCCCCAAGCCGAGCCACGGGCGGCTCGAGCCGGCGAGCCCGATTGCCATCCCTACCCGTTGATACCTACTCCCCTCCAGACAGGAGAGACACCAAGTGTAGGGAACTGTCCAGATTAATTGAACAACCTTCCACAAGAACGAACATTGGGGTCCCCGAATACAACATCTCTATCAGGCCAACAGAACTAATTGTAGTATTGAAGGGAATGGGCAGCACGGTGAATTGGCCCGAAAAGATGAGAAGCTCTAGTGACTAGCGAGATAAAAGTAAATAGTCTGAGTTTCACATCGACCACGGCCACCGCATAGATGATAAAGGAAAGGAGAACGTCGCGAGATGACGACAACAACAACAGCATGGTAAGCAAAGCTCCGAATCAATGGCCACACCATCATAAGATCGAACCATTAACTTCGTCATCGACGAATCGAAAGTTAGTGGGATAACAAGGGCGACGGCAAGAAGGCACGCGCGTCGAGCAACTCACCTTTGTCAAAATTTAAGCCAAATAAGCCAGTCAGACGCACTGCAATCATTAGTTTTACGACATCTGAGGCTACGCAACTACTCAATCCACACCATGATGCTTTGGTCATATCTTTGAACATTGCCAACTGCTTAGTCAAGCGCATTTTAATAGACAACGACAGCAGTGCAAACATACTTTTCCTGGAGACCGTTAAGGCTATGAGAATTTCAGAAGAAAACATTACACGCGGGATAACAATGCTAATTGGTTTCAGTAGTGAACAAAAGAATACTCTATGCGAGATCGTTTTGCCTGTTTATGCGGAAGGGGTTAACCTTCACACCTAATTCCTCGTAATACATAGTCCTTCAGCATATAATGTTATCTTAGGGAGGCCTTGGATCCATGAAATGAAGGTCATACCATTAATGTTTCATCAGGTATTCCGTTTCCCGACCAAATGGAGAATAACAGAATTTCTTGGCGACCAAAGGGATTCCAGGGAGTGCTACAAAAATTCACTCTGCTCTGACTAATCTTCTCTATAGCAGTTACAGCAATCTCAGTCAACCATCCTAGACCAACCAGATGTGGAAGAACTAGATGAAGTACAGATCCACCCCGACTTTCTAGAACACAAAACTCAAGTCGGAGCAAGGCTAGAACTAGAGCTTAGGCAACGCCTTATCAGGTTCTTCTTTGAACACCATGACTATTTTGTTTAGTCCCATACTGACATGATCGGTGTTGACCCAGAGGTAATAACGCACAAATTGAATGTTGATCATCATTACATTCCGATCAAACAGAAGTTGAAGAAAATTTACGCCCAAATGAAATCGTATAATTAATGAAGAGGTCCAAAAACTTTTGGAAGTAGGTTCTATACGAGAAGTTAACTACCCAGACTGGCTGGCTAATGTCGTCGTGGTGAAAAAGAAAAATGGTAAGTAGAGAGTTTGTATCGATTTCACAGACCTAAACAAGGCATGTCCAAAGGACAACTTTCATCTTCCACATATAGACATGATTGTCGATTCGATAGCTGGATATGAGCTTCTAAACTTTATGAATGCTTTATCCGAATACAACCAGATATTGATGCACCCAGCTGACCAAGAGAAAATCGCTTTTGTGACAGAGCAAGGCATGTTCTGTTACAAGGTTATGCCATTTGGACTCAAAAACGTGGGAGCAATCTATCAACGACTAGTAAATCGTATGTTCGCTGAGCAACTCGAAAAATCCATGGAAGTCTACATCGATGATATACTGGTGGAGTCTTTGATTGCAGAGCAACACATAGACCACCTTAAGCAGTCTTTCGAGGTTCTAAAGAAGTACAACATGAAACTTAATCCGTCCAAATGTTCTTTAGGAGTATCATCTGGCAAGTTTCTAGGTTACTTAGTAACCCAACGGGGAATCGAAGCAAATTTGGACCAAATCCAATCAATCTTTAACATTCCATCTCCAACTTGTATTAAGGAAGTTCAAAGGCTAACTGGAAGGCTTGCAGCTCTTAACAGGTTCATCTCCCAATCTTCAGAGAAATGTCAAAAGTTCTATAACATATTAACGAAAAATAAAACTTTCTAATGGACCCCGACATGCAAAGAAGCACTTCAGCAACTCAAACAATATCTGACATCACCACCACTCCTGTCGAAATCGAAAGACGGAGAACAACTATACATGTACTTGGCAGTTTCGGAGACGACGATCAGCTCAGTCTTGGTCCTCGAAGAAGATGAAAAGCAACTCCCAATTTACTATGTTAGCAAGGCATTGCTGGATGCAGAAACCCGCTATAGCCAACTGGAGAAATTAGCCTTGTCACTTGTTAGTGCAGCTCGAAAGCTAAGACCGTACTTCCAAAGTCATTCAGTAGTAGTCATGACATCATTTCCACTAAAACAAATACTCCATAAACCTGAGTTGTCTGGACCATTAACCAAATGGGGCGTCGAATTAAGTAAATATGATATTTCCTTTGCACCCTGCACTACCATCAAATCTCAGGTACTAGCAAATTTCATCGCTGATTTTGCACCTAACCCATAGGTTTTGGCCCAAAGAGAACTTCTCTGCTTGATGGATGGACCAGCAACGGGCATATGGATGCTCCAAGTAGACGGATGGAGCAACATCAATGGCACAGGACTTGGCATTATCTTAACATCACTGGAAGGAGATCAAATAGAGCAGGCGATTAGGCGTGAATTCAAGGCAACCAACAATGAGACAGAGTATGAAGTACTCATTACTGGACTGGTCTTAGCAAAAGAGATTGGAATTACCCGAATACATGTCTGCAGTGATTCTCAGCTCATTGTAAACCAAATACAGGGCACATTCCTTGCCAAAGACACAAAGATAACGTCCTACCTAGAGTTGGTCAAGCGGCTCTGTAAAGAGTTTGATGAGTTCCTTATCATTCAAGTCCCACGAACTGAAAAAATCCAAGTAGATGCACTAGCCAGCCTCAAAGCAATTACGAATACGAAACAAAGTAAGGTAATCCCGATAGTTTACTTGCAATGGCCAGCAGTTCAAAAATTCGACGAGAACAATAGTATTCATTCATTCGAGGAACAATCTTGGATGACACCGATCATCAAGTACCTCCAAAATGATGAGTTGCCACCAGACAAGAATAAAGCTCGACGAAATAAGGCTAAGGTTGCAAGATTTTACATTATAGACGATAAACTGTATAGGAGATCATTCTCTAGACCCTATCTCCGATGCATCAGCAATGCAGAGGTCGAATATATCTTGGCTGAACTTCACGAAGGGGAGTGTGGTAATCACTTGGGAGCCCCGGAGCCTGGCGCATCGTACACTTACCGCAGGGTACTATTGGCCAATAATGTAGACCGACTTTGTTAATCACGTCAAACAATATGACAGATGCCAACGATTCGCCAATGTCTCCCACCTCCCACCAGAACGGCTCAACCCCGTTCTTTCACCTTGGCCTTTCATAAAATGGGGGATGGACATTATTGGAAAACTCCCCTCTGCTCCAGGACAACGAGTTTTTGTACTGGCAATCATAGACTATTTCACAAAATGGATTGAAGCCAAGGCACTCTCAAAGATACATGATCGTAAAGTTATCCAATTTATCTGGAAAAATGTGATATGCAGATTTGGAGTCCCAAAGGAAATAGTCACGGACAATAGGACACAGTTCATAAGCACTGGGTTTCAAAATTTCTGTAAAGAGTGGAACATCAAGCTTAACTTCTCCACTTCGCGATATTCCCAAGCCAATGGTCAGGCTGAATCTTCCAATAAGACTGTCATGACATTAAAGAAAAGACTATCTGAGGCTAAAGGAAAATGGGCAAACGAGTTGCCTAGGTCCTTTGGTCCTATTGCACCACCATTCGAACACCCACTGGTGAAACACCCTTCTCGTTAGCTTATGGCGCGAAAGCGATCATACCAATAGAAATAGGCACTCTAACATTTCGATATGAATGGACAACTAATGAGCAGAATCAAGTCGAATTATGCCACGAGTTAGATTTGGCAGATGAACGAAGAGAAAGAGCTTTGATTCGTACAATTGCATATCAACGAAAAATCTCCCAACATTTCAATACGTAGGTGAGAACTAGAACCTTCAAAGAAGGCGAGTGTGTGCTGTGAAGAGTATTTCAAAACACCAAGGAAGCTGGTGTTGAAAAGCTTGCAGCAAATTAGGAAAGACCATACTTGATCACTAAGGTCGTCAGGCAAGGAGCCTATAAGCTATGCGCCCAAGACGGTAGAGATATCACCAACAGCTGGAATAGCATCCACCTCCGCAAATATTATTTTTAAGTCTTTTAAACTCTTCTTTTTTATTTGGTATTTTTATTTTCATTTGAAATCTGTACTGACTTAAGCATTAGAGAGAGCCGACGGCAGAAATGCAATCGGCGGTCCTAACCTTCTTTTCTTTCAGGAGAATCGATGAGAAAATGTCAGACTCGAACGCCATCCACCCTGCCCAATATTATTTCTAAGTCTTCTCAACTCTTCCTTTTTACTTGGTATTTTTATCTCCGTTCTAAATCTATAATGACTTAAGCATCGGAGAGTCGATGACATTTTTGCCATCGGTGGTCCTAACCCTCTTTGCTCTCAGGAGATTCACCAAAGGGAGAAATGTATCAGATATCAGACTTTTCTCATCACCAATGATTTGGGAATCCTTGAATTTGTGGAAGAAAATCTAATGCAGATATCAATAGCTATTTTGGAGTCAAGAGAGATAAATATATAAATTTCATCAAGTCATTTGGATGAAAAAGACCACGCGGTTGCCTTCAAGCCGTCCAGATGAAGAAGAACACACGATTGTTGGACAAGGGTAGCATTACCCTAACCATGAGGTCGATCCAAACGAAGACTCAACTATCTCTAGAGCAGCTAATAAAATTACTTACTAAATCAGACGGACTAGCTTGATCGAGTCCTTTGTAAAAGTACTTTGATGAGACTGCTTTATCTTTTATGATGAGAAAGTAAGTCCAATTTCTATTCCAATATTATGGTCACGCTTCTATTACAAATAAAATTCTACGTTCGATACTTCACGAGTTTTTGGCAATTAGGCGCATAACTCCAATAAGTCTACAAATTATATAGTTTGGAAAGACATGGGTTCAAACACGATTCATACAAATACTGATACATAAGCTTGAAAGAAAATATTAGCCGAAAAGCACACTTGGAAAATGTGCTTCCAAAGGCTCCTAGCCTTTCCATCATCGGTATTCCCGATTTCATCGCCGGATGAAGCCCCTACTTTGGGCTGCTCCTCTAATGTATTTGACATACCAAGCAACTTGTACAACTCCGCATAATCGACAATAGCTTTATCTACGTCCCAGCTAATGTGCCTACCTTTCTTGTAATCATTCATAAGAAAGGCCGGGTGGCTATCTTGACTTCCAACTGGTAGTTCTCCAAACGGTCTTCCAGAGAATTGATCTGATTCCCTGAAGATTTCTTTGAGTTTGCACTCCTCCAATGTAAGCTTCTCGCGAACCACCTTGGCTAGCTCATCTAGTGCTTTCCTAGTAGCCAAATCAGCATCTTGCTTCTCTGTCCTCAAACTTTCATTTTTCCCAGGTATGAAGTATTCGCATCCTGCAATGAGCATACCTTCCTAGCCAACCTAATGGCTTCGTTCTTCTGAAAAATAGCCCATTGCAGTACCTGGAATCAATGGAATAAGTTTGTGTCGACCAATTGGGTTATCCATAAAGAAGCATATAAAAATATTATACCTAGAAAGCCTGAGCCATCATGTTTTCGACTGCCTTAACTGGACCAAGTTGTTCATAGCACACTCGATCTTCGGGGAATAAAAGTCCCTCGCCAAGTGTCGCCACCCCTGGGTTAGAAAATGCGAATGAGTCTGATGGGAAGGTAAGCACGATCGAATCGTCATCTGCCGACAATGACCCCAGTTGACTGCATTTTTGGATCGACGAGGAAGGAGCATCAGGCAGCTCCGTCTGGCTGGAAAGACCATCAGACGGAACTAGGGTGTCAACTAGTAACGTATGAGGAGAAACCTTTTTAGACTTCTCCTTCACCTTTCTCCTTTCCAAAGCATCGAGCGAAGATCCTACCACTCTTGACATAATTCAATTTGCAATCTCATGTTCGATTGAGTTAAGTGGACCAGCTATATAAAGGCTACTGTCAAGAATTTCCATACCTCTCTTTACCATTACAATAGAGATCTTATATCTTGGAAATCGAAAGGAATACCTCTTGGTTCGGTCGAAACGTGCTCCCACAAGCTGCTTGAAGAAAGGACTTTTGGAGACAAAAGGAATTGGCAATCCTTTCGATCCTTAGGTATCGCTAAGATCTTGGAAATGCTCTCATTTACAAACAATCCTTCGACTGGCCGCATATTGATACGAAGACCTGCAAGAAAATGAAATAAGAACCTCAAATGAGTAAAGTGTATTGAAAGTAAAAGATCTGCAAAACTTATTGCCGGACCATGCCGAAGGGACATGGTAACTCTCCGACCAAACCAAGTCACCTGATGCGAGGAACTAAGACCCTTTCCAGCCCTTATCCCAAAAAAAAAGGCCAACTATCAATTGATCAACATTTTTTCTTGCATTTAAGGAAAAACGGTCATTTTCACCATCGTGTTCTTTAATAAAGTAGCCATGAAGTAGCTCTGGCATGCCAAACGACATATAATGCTGCTCGGTTAAGACCTGAAGTGCTAAAAGCAATCTTCGAGAGTTAGGCATAAGTTGGCTAGGTGCAATCTCGAAATACTCTAATACCATCATAATCGTGTCGGGAATCGGAAATTGAAAGCCATCTTTAAGTGGTAACTCATAGAAAAAAACCCAACCTGGGACATTCTACGAAACCCTTTCGTGCGGTCATGGTAGATGAAGTTTAACTGATGCAGGAATATCATAGGCATCTCAGATTCTTACCAAGTCATTTTCCTTCAGCTTGCTTGGTATGTTCTTATTAAACATGATACCACTACCGCTTGGATTGCTCTGCTCGTATGAATCATGTCTAGGCTGGTCATCGTCACGACTTGGATTGGATGGACCACTACTGATACCAACGCTCTCTAGATCAATCTCATAAGAGAAATGAATCCCCGGATCGCCTACAAACCCCACCAATGTTGGCCCGTCTGGACAATCCAAACCCACATAATCGTCTAGCCATGAGTTTTCACTCGGATTGTCAAACTTATTTACATTACCAGTTGGCCATGTTTCGGCCGAAATTTTGTACGAAGCGTCAGATAAATCACTCCAGACCATTGTTCATCAAAAATAACTATTCACTAGCAACTTCGCTTCACAACGGATCAAACCCCAGAAATACCAAATCAAAACATACTCAACCACCAAAGAACTTGGAAAAATGATTAAAGAACACTCAAAGAACATTCAAAAACAAAATAAGAACTTGAATCGAAAAGAAAAACGCACCAGAATCTCAGAAGCTTCTTGAAGAGAACTCAGGTCACTTGAAAAATGAGGACATCAGGCCTTAAATTTTAGAAGTTGAGACTCTAAACGAGATGAGTAAACGAGTTCATAAATGCGATCAGAACCATCGACAGAATACACTCACCGAACATTGCAAATGAACAAGAGGCCTTCCGACTAATTTGCCGTATAGAACGCATTGTACTATCTAGCCAAAAATTTTTTTTCTTCCAAATGGGCACGTCGATCTTTGGGCTAGTAAACAAGCCACAAATATGGCATGGTCTAGATAGATCAAATACCTTTTCTTTTCGTGTGGATATATTCACCACTTGGAATGGCAAAACAAGCAATGCGTATGATGTAATCTAGACGAATCAATGATCTTCTTTTTCGAACGGATGCATCGATCAATCTAACTAGAAAAGCAAGGGGTGCGTATCTCACGCCCCAGACGGACTGGATTAAAAAAATAAATATAATTATTATTTCTCTAAAACCACTCGACATTTTGCCGAGCGGTATGTGACTTGTGCCCATGGGCACAAGTTGTTGCATGCATGCCACTAAATTAACATACCACACTGCTCGGAAGCCGTGTGGTGATCCTAACCATTTCGCACGATTTTCGAGCCATGCGGACATTATAATATTTTATATATAATATTATTATATAATGAATATAAATTATTGATGTTCATCACATGAGCCATGTAATAAATTTTCAGAAAAATTTATCGCTTGGCCTCGAGCCACATGAGAGCTAATGAGTCGTGCCGAACAAGAAAAATAACCGACTTGCAAGTTAAAAAATCGCACAGCTAGAAAAGTGATTAGAAATCTCCATGACATTTTTAATAACTAGACGATTCTCATACACCACCATGTAATCAAATGATCCGCCCTATGATCTGAATTCTCTCTCAACCAAGGATCCGATCATCTCTGAACTTGAATTACTCTTCCATTCGAGTAGAACTCGTATAAAAGAGTGGGGGACAAATTGTAGTGATAAAAATTAATTCACTAGTCCAAGTGGCCCAAACCATAGAACGGGGTCCACAGACGATTAAACCGTGCCATCATCAGCCCAACTTATTATAACAATTGACCTGAATACACAGTCCAAGACCCATATGTCAATTCGAAATCTCCAATAATCTATCTTCCAGATAGATCACGTTACGATCTATCCAGATCTGGTGAGAGTTATCTGCAAATGGATTTGATATCTCAACTGAACAGATCGGATTAGATTTGGCTCCAACCAACCATGAAATCATTGAGAATCCTCGCTAATCCCTCCTAAACGGTTATCCCACACCTATAAATTCAGCAGTCGGTCGAGCATTCAGGTAGGAGAATACACAATACTCTAATTCATTTCTTCTTTCTTCTATTCGTCATTTATCAAACTTTCAATGAAGTTTACTGACTT